CAGAGACGCACATGATCGCGACGGGCGGGCCGGACTGCGTGCTGCGCGTGTGGAACCCGTTCGTGTGCGAGAAGCCGTCGGCGCAGCTGCTCGGCCACCACGCCGCCATCGTGTCCATCGTGATCCAGGACGCCGGGCGGCGGCTCTTCAGCCTGGACGCGGCGCGCTGCGTGCGCGTGTGGGACGGCGCCACGCACGCGTGCGTCCAGTCCTACTCCACCATGATGGAGACGCGGCGCGTGCCGCTCGCCACCTACTACCACCCGCTCTCGCGCGTCTGGATGATCGCGGCGCGCGACATCGCGCTCGTGCAGCTGTGCGCCCGCCTCAACCCGGACCGCACGGACGGCCACACGCACACGGCGCCCGTCACGCGCGTGCTCTACAACCCGCTCTTCAAATGCGTGAGTACCGCGGGGGACTCTAGGTTCAGAGGTCACGCACGGACACCGTGTGGATAACAGAGGTGAAACGACCTAAAAGTCTTGTGGAGCAACACCATGGCCATGGGGAACTATATGGTCACAGGATACTCCCACCCAAGGACAACGTTTTCCTCACGATGGCATCACTGAAATCTCCTTATGACCAACGAGGTCATGATGTTTGCATCTGCACACGATTTTGAACAAACGTTTTCCTCGGGCACGAGATTCTTCGTCGTTCAAGCTGTCGACATAGTGTCCATGAGAGGCCGTGGGCGTGGGCTGCTCTTTCTTGACCTGTCATGCGGTATGCGCCCCGCGCAGGTGGTGACGACCGGCATGGACTCGTGCATCATGGTGTGGGACCCGTGGCGGGGCACGCGCACCCGCTTCATCCGGCACGCGCACTCGCTCGTGCGCTACGGCCGCGACGAGCCGGTCGAGATCACGGCGGCCTGCTTCGACCCGCCGCAGCAGCTGCTGCTCACGGGCGCCGCCAACGGCACCCTCAAGATCTGGAACTTCAACGCGGGCGTCTGCGTCCGGAACATGGCCATCGGCAACAACCTGTGAGTACCGCAGTTACTTCACTGAAAAAATCAGTGTTTGCTACGCACCCTCGAAAAATTCATTGTAGACGTTCAAAAACTTCAGTAAACATACACACACAAAAAAAAAAACAACAGAAAAAACAAGAAAAAACGGAAAATTCAGGAAATAACAGAAAAAAATCGAAAAATTCAGAAAAAAAGTTCCAAAAATTTCAAAAAAATAATCCGGTAAAATCCGAAAAAATCAAGCAAGGACAGAGAAATCTATGTAGCGTACGCTTGAAGTTATAAAGAACCACACGGAATTACGTCGCTGTCCGAACGGTGTCGCTTCTTTCTGTAGGGAGGTGACGGCGGTCATGTGGGTGCCGCTGCGCATCCTGGCCGTGGGCTGGAACATGCGCGTCATGGAGTGGGCGGACGGCGGCGCGTCGCTGCGCGGCAAGTCCTGGGAGCTGCGGCACACGAGCCACGTGCTGTGCGCCGACACGCGCCCGCCAGACGCGCTCGCCACCGCCACGGACAACGGCGAGCTCGTCATCTGGCGCCTCGAGACCGGCCAGCCGTACGCGCGCTACCGCGTCGACGCGCCCATCCACAAGTGCGTGTCGCCTCGAAAGCCCGGATCTAGAGGTGGATTAGGGAGGGGATAAATTTTTAGGAAAAACGCATCCCCCATCCTCTTTCCCTTTCTTTGGACCATGTTCAGACTCAAGCACCCTGCCTGCCCACTGCACTGTGTCTAGATTCGCTTCCGCGCTGCCCGTTACTGTACGTATCCGTTTGCCTCCCGCAGGTCCGGGATGACGCACTACGTGGAGGCTGAGGTGAAGCCGCCGCGGTACTGGACGCCGGTGCACATGCCCCGCTCCACAGGTCTCTGGCCGCCACAACATACGCATATTGGACCCCTCCCTTGCCCGTACACCTAGGTTGAATGCTAATGGCTAAGGGATCATCCTGAAAGTACGCCCGCCGTGACGAAAATGCCGAGTTCAGCATCGGCAAACAAGCTCTCATAGCGCCTGTCAGGTAGGCAACATCTTGCCTACGATGCACGCGTGTACTGCGGGGGTGTCTACCCTGCGGTTCGCAGGCACCGAGGTCTAGTATGGTCTCGTAATTTGCCGAATGAACATGAGCGGACGTAGGCTACTTTTCGGACGGTCCTAAACAGACATCTTCCGACATGGAAGGCCAAGGTTTAGAGAGTATTGGAATAATTTTCGCGTCCCCTTTTGACCCCCCAGGCGCGCAGGGCCCGCCGCGCGTGCACCAGCTGCGCTTCCTGCGCTCGCGCCCCGTGTCCCGCGGCGTGGGCTCGCTGCTCGTCGCGCTCTCCAGCGGCTACGTGCAGGTCTGGTCCCACCACCCCGTCGGCGGCTACCTCACGCAGTTCCTCGCGGTGCACACTGTCACCGACTACGTCATGAGCATGGAGACGGACCCCGACTGCAACTTCCTCTTCACTGGTGCGTCCCCCCTGACGTCCTCTGCTGACCCTTAGTGACGCTAGCGTGGAACACTCCAATGCTGGGGTCCCGACAATGTGGCCGGCGGGTCAATGTTGTTGTCATTCGTGCTTCGCTAACTCTTCTTGGTCACCTATAAGTCCGTCTCTCGCACTGACTAGTGCCGTCGTTATCCGTGACCCCTGCTCTAATGCCCTTGGCCGTGCACAGGCCACTCGGTGGGATACATCAAGATATGGCTCATGTCCAACTTCTGCTACCCCGGCGGCCCCGTGGTCCCCCTCTTCCTGCCCGCCTTGAGGAAGCAGTTCCCCTTCCTGTTCCGGGACCGTATTCCGGGCAGGTGAGTCTCACTTCCGGCATCCGCTCCCGCTATTGGCGACAACAAACTTTGGACCGGAAATATACTCTGATCAGGGCGAAGCGGGCCGTGCGAGCGCAGGACCTTCCGATGCTGCTCTCGTCCGTGCGGGGTCACCTGCAGCCCGTTACCTTTCTGCAGTACTGCGCCGAGAACAAGATTCTCTTCAGGTTTTTTGCCTGCTTTGCTCGGTGTCCCTCCCTCAGTACTTAGCGGTGGGCTTAACCCCCGTCGCGCGCGCAGCTCGAGCGCTGACCGCTCCGTGCGCCTGTGGTCCTTCTCCGGGGAGTACATTGCCACCCTGGGCACCATGCTGCCGTGGCCCGAGCTGTTCCCGGACAGCGTGTGGGAGCCCGCCATCGACCAGCCCCCGCGCGTGCCCGCCGACCTGAAGCGGGTGTCGTCCTCCACGACGCTCAAGGTGCTGAACCGGGGCCTGGTCGAGTGGCTGACCCCCGGGCTGGTGGACCGCGCCAAGCAGACCCGCCAGTCTCTGCGGCCCATCACGGCCGAGGACGTGTTCCCCGGCACCTACGGCATGAGGCTCTACAAGCCCATCCTGGGCCGCTGCTACGAGCTGCCCAGCAAGGCCATAGGACGCACCCCTAAAGTCACTCTGGACACGGACCTGGACAAGGTACTGTGCAGGAGGATGGACGTGTCCGCCAAACCTGGTCCAACCAATGGTCGCTAAGTTTGTGATCTGCGACCTTCGTGTTCTTCAGATTCCGGTTTTGAAACACATCAAGACGGTCGAGGAGCAGGATGTGCCGAGGCCACCTACACCAGAGTGCGTGCAAGCTCTTCACACTTTCAGGTAACCAACATGTTAAAAATTTACGTTTTTAAGAAACTGGATAGTCTTGCGACGACAACCTTTTATTTCATCTCGATCGCCAGGTTGCCGTCCTCCCTGCTGTCGACGACGGGCTTACCCACGCGGCAGGCGTCCATGGCCTTCCCCCAATCTACCCAGAGACATAAAGGAAATCATTAAAAGTCAAAACACCCCCTCCTGTTTAGTTTGGGGAGGGGATGGGAAGGGAGGGGGGGGGGGCAACGGACTGTTTAAATACATGTTTAAATATAAATCGGGATTTACAACGACCTCGGGAACGCTAAGCTTAGGACTATGAACTTCCAGAAAACCCTGGGGCACCCTCCTTCCTCGCCCTCTCCCGTCCTAGTTAACGGCAATTCGCACCAATGCGAAAAAACGCAGCAACGCGCATCACGTGCCCTGACGTAAACCCCCTGCAGCCTGCAGGCCAGGCACTTCGCCGACACGCGCGTCGTGCGCGCTGCCTATCCGACCCTCGCAGGGGGCGTCTCGTAGATACCCCACCACTCGATGCCAAAGTAACTTTTGGAGGCGGAGTATTGCCGGCGTTGTTGTTGTTCCGACCTGTCAAAGCTCCTTGTTTGGAAATGATTTGAAGAGGACTAACACTTCTAATGGGGATATACTCTGAGGTAAGATGTTTGTGTGAAAAATTATATTTTCTCTGTTATGAAAGGAAACCTACTGCATCTGATTTTGTTGTTTGAACTGTTGTGTTAATTCATAGGTTATGAATATTATCACTGTTTATTACCTTTCTGTTTTCTGTCGTTTTTAAAAAGGGAATTCAAATTTTTACTGGAACTTAAATCACTACAATGGGGAAGACCCTTCGCGTTGTTGTAAGTGGTATGGCTGGAGTAGGAAAAACAGCCATACTGGAACAATTGATCCATGGAAACATTACACCTTCAACAGTATGTCTTTGAAAAAAAAATGTGTACTACTTATTTAACTACACCTGACAAAGTGTTGTAAACCTAATTGGTGTACCTTTTTACTTCAATAGGAGTTGTATCCAACTATTGAGGACATATATGTGGCTAGTGTGGAAACAGATCGAGGGACACGGGAAAAAATGCGACTTTATGACACAGCTGGTTTACCACCACTGTCTGGCCCTAATGCTGCAGTAAATTCTGTTCAGCAGCAACAACAGCAACAGCTTGCTAAACAGTTACTAGGCCTGACAGAGGGCTATGTTCTGGTTTATGATCCAGCTCGACCTGAATCGTTTGAATGCTTGCTTCCACTTAAACGAGACATCGACAAAAATAGGGACAAAAAGGAGGTAATGATTCCATTCTATTTATGTCATTGGTTTATTTATTTTTTAAAGTGAAAAGTAATATTACATGTCTTTAAAATCATTGGCAGGTTGCCATAGTTATTTTGGCAAATCGCATCAAGTCAAGCAATACGAACTACTCGACATCTCCTGGAGGTGGAGTGACAGCTCCTGCAAATATGACTGTTACTTCATCCCTAAATAAAGCCAATAATTGGGCAGTAAGAGAGCATATGAAGCATTATGAAGTCAACGCAATGGAAAGAGCATCACTTCTAGAGCCCTTTGTGTACTTGGCCACTAAACTAAGCCCGCCTCCAAATAAAAGCTCCTTTCCTCAGCTTAGTATGGTTAGAAAGTCAATATCAAGTCGCCCAGATACTGCCTCTTAA